CTTTCAAGGACAACGGAGATGAGAGAAGGTGAATGAACTGTTGGCGGGTCTGAAGAAACAGCAGTCTGTGTTTACTCACAGCCGAGACATCAGTGACGCTGCAGTGAAAGCTAGCTACCTCATTGCTAATGAAATCGCAGTGGCTTCAAAACCATTTAGTGAGGGTGAATTTGTAAAAACATGCATGATGAAGGCAGCGGAGATTGTGTGCCCTGAAAAGCGGCAGGCTTTTGCAAATATCAGCCTGACAAGAAACACAGTTGCAGACAGGATTTCCGATCTTTCAGTGGATTTGGACAGCCAGTTGAAGCAAAAAGTAAAGTCATTTATTGCGTTTTCGGTTGCAATTGATGAAAGCACGGACATTACAGATGTTGCACAACTGGCCATTTTCATCCGCGGAGTTGATGACACATTGACCGTCACCGAGGAGTTCGTGGAGTTGGTGCCGATGACAGATACAACGACAGCAGCTGATATTTTTACCGCACTCGTCGGCGCGCTGGACAGGGTCGGAGTGGACTGGTCCCGCGCTGTCAGCCTGGCTACAGATGGTGCGCCCTCAATGATCGTGAAAAAAGCAGGCGTTGTGACAAAGTTCAGAGAGAAAGTGCAATCTGCAAATGGAGGACGTGATTTTTTTGACTTTTCACTGTATTTTGCACCAGGAGGCTATGTGTTGCAAGTCATTAAAGATGGATAACGTCATGAAGGTGGTCATCCAAACTGTTAATTTCATCCGATCCAGAAGCCTGAATCACCGTCAGTTTGACAGCCTTCTCAGAGAGAAAGACCACATCTATGGCCTGCCATACCACACTGAGGTAAGATGGTTAAGCCGAGGTGCTGTGCTGAGGCGTTTCTTTGATTTACGAGAAGAAATTGAACAGTTCATGGAAGAAAAGGGCAAACCAGTGTTAGAATTTCATTCCGCAGAATGGATGCAGGACCTTGCATTTATGGTGGATGTTACAGAGCACCTGAATAACTTGAACAAACAGCTGCAAGGGCGCAACAAAGTTGTCACGCAGTATTATGACAGCATACGTTCTTTCAAGTTGAAGCTGTCATTGTGGGAGACGCAACTTGCCGGTGGTGATGCAGCTCACTTCCCCTGTCTGAAAAATGTGTGCGCGACCCAACATGTGGCAGACATGAAGCGGTTCAAAGATAAAATAACGGGACTGTTACGGGAGTTTGAGCAACGCTTTCAGATTTATGTTTATATGTTTTTATGTTGATGTGCTATTGTTTTTAATTGTTTTATTTTATTTGTATATTTAACCTATTCTTGACTCTGTGGTTCTTGCACTTGTTTGGGGAACAGGATTTCATTATTTTTATCTACATTTCTGCCTGAGAAATGACACCCTGATATAGTTCTGTGATCTGTGATATACTTCTGTGAATCACTGAGGCATTGTGTGTTTGTGTGTTCTTTGTCCTCAGAACTTTCAAATAACTTGAGGTGTTTTATAATTAATAGTGATGTTGTGCTTTTGGACACTGTCCTCAGGCTCCAGCTTTATGTTTATATGTTTTTATGTTGATGTGCTATTGTTTTTAATTGATTTTATTTTATTTGTATATTTAACCTATTCTTGACTCTGTGGTTCTTGCACTTGTTTGGGGAACAGGATTTCATTATTTTTATCTACATTTCTGCCTGAGAAATGACACCCTGATATAGTTCTGTGATCTGTGAAACAGTTCTGTTAATCACTGAGGCATTGTGTGTTTGTGTTCTTTTTCTTTAGAATTTTCAAATAAACTTGACGTGTTTTATGATTAATAGTGATGTTGTGCTTGTACTATTTTGGACACACTGTCCTCTGGCTCCAGCTTTATGTTGTATGTTGACCGTATTAAAACAAAGAAAACAATCTGAAGTTGTTGTTTTTAAGTTATATATACCATGATTTTTCCGGTCCGGCCCACTTGGGAATAGATTTTCCTCCATGTGGCCCCTGAGCTAAAATGAGTTTGACACCCCTGATTTAGAGCGTAGGGCCAAATCGTCAACATAAAGTATTTGCCATGTATGTACAGTACCAGTAAAAGGTTTGGACACACCTACTCATTCCAGGGTTTTTCTTTATTTTTACTATTTTCTACATTTTAGAATAATAGTGAAGACATCAAAACTATGAAATAACACATATGGGATGATGTAGTAACCAAAAAAGTGTTAAACAAATCAAAATATATTTTGCCTTGATGACAAATTTGCATACTCTTGGCATTCTCTCAGCCAGCTTCATGAGGTAGTCACCTGGAATGCATTTACATTAACAGGTGTGCCTTGTTAAAAGTTAATTTGTGGAATTTCTTTCCTTCTTAATGCGTTTGAGCCAATCAGTTGTGTTGTGACAAGGTAGGGGTGGTATACAGAAGATGGCCCTATTTGGTAAAAGACCAAGTCAATATTATGGCAAGAACAGCTCAAATAAGCAAAGAGAAATGACAGTCCATCATTACTTTAAGACATGATGGTCAGTCAATACAGAAAATCTCAAGAACTTTTGAAGGTTTCTTCAAGTGCAGTCGCAAAAACCATCAAGCGCTATGATGAAACTGGCTCTCATGAGGACCGCCACAGGAAAGGAAGACCAAGGGTTACCTCTGCTGCAGAGGATAAGTTCATTAGAGTTACCAGCCTCAGAAATTGCTGCCCAAATAAATGCCACAGACACATCATCTCAACATCAACTGTTCAGAGGAGACTGCATGAATCAGGCCTTCATGGTCGAATTGCTGCAAAGAAACCACTACTAAAGGACACCAATAAGAAGAAGAGACTTGTTTGGGCCAAGCAACACGAGCAATGGACATTAGACCGGTGGAAATCTGTCCTTTGGTCGGATGAGTCCAAATGTGTCTTTGTGAGACGCAGAATAGGTGAACGGATGATCTCTGAATGTGTGGTTCCCACCATAAAGCATGGAGGAGGAGGTGTGAAGGTGTGGGTGTGCTTTGCTGGTGTCACTGTGATTTATTTTGAATTCAAGGCACACTTAACCAGCATGGCTACCACAGCATTCTGCAGCGATACACCATCCCATCTGGTTTGCGCTTAGTGGGACTATAATTTCTTTTTTTCAACAGGACAATGACCCAAAACACACCTCCAGGCTGTGTAAGGGCTATTTGACCAAGAAGGAGAGTGATGGAGAGCTGCATCAGATGACCTGGCCTCCACAATCACCCGACCTCAACCCAATTGAGATGGTTTGGGATGAGTTGGACAGCAGAGTGAAGGAAAAGCAGCCAACAAGTGCTCAGCATATGTGGGAACTCCTTCAAGACTGTTGGAAAAGCATTCCTCATGAAGCTGGTTGAGAGAATGCCAAGAGTGTGCAAAGCTGTCGTTAAGGCAAAGGGTGGCTATTTTGAAGAATATAAAATATATTTTGATTTGTTTAACACTTGATTCCATGTGTTATTTCATAGTTTTGATGTCTTCACTATTATTCTACAATGTAGAAAGTACTGTATCTTACGTGTCTACACTTGACACTTACATGCGACGTCTGCTATCAGAATATGAAGATTGCGTCTAGACCCGTCTTTTCAATGCACAGAAGTCGCTATTTGGTCAGATTGTGTTCAGATCTGGCTGACCACTTCAGGAGGTGGTCAGGGATGCATTGTGTGCGGATTTCTTCTCAGTCTGGATGCAATCAGGTTATCGAAAGTGCATACAGTGGGCGATGTCATCGGTGGAAGAGGCTAAATATAATAATAACACAACAACAACAACTGATGGAAGTAGCTAACAGCTGTAGCTGAGCAGCCAGCTAACCTCTGTTGGAGAAAAAAAATCCTAGCGTGTGAGGAATGTGTTTGCTGGCCTCATAAATGCTAGCCAGCTAGCGAATATTTAGAAAAATACTGTTTTGTTTGGCTAGAGTTATGCTAACCCGTTGCGATCCCTTTAGCATTGCTTGCTAGCTTGCTGGCTAGCTACAGAGGTTAGCTGGCTATTTTGCTACAGTAGTTAGCTACTGCCATCAGTTGTTGTCTTATTATCATATTTAGCCTATTCCACCATTTGTAGAATGCATACTGGCATTTGAATGTAGCACGAGAAAAGGGAATCCGGACACAGTAGACACATTTTAAATGTAGGTGTAGATGCATGACGCGTTCGGAATTCCGTGATCAGAAGGCTATGATCAGAATACTAAAGCTGCATGAATTGTTAAGTCTGGACACGGCCTTATAGCTCTACATCCACACATGTCATGTCACATTTAGACCAGTTTAGGGTATTCGTATTTTGGGAAATTAAAAACAGACTGATTAAGATGCGTAAGATTGGACCACTCAGTGATACTGTACTGGATGTTCATGCAACATAGTCATATTAAGTATTTTGAGTAACCCTTTGTGTGCGTGCGTGTGTACTTGTGTTTGGAAAACAGATCTACGCTCCAGGTAGTGACAGTAAGAAGGGGAATAGTTCACAGTGAAGATTTCTCCACTCAGTGAAATTCAACTTTTAATCCAGGTCCTGACCTGTAATTTGCCTGCTTGCCCTCCTGCCTGCCTGTCTATGTAACAGTCTTTCCCCTCCAGTGACCTTGTGTAACACTACAATATGTAAAAACAAAGTTGGGTCAACCAAGACTATTAATCCCTCTCATATGTCTCCCTCTCACACATTCTCCTTATAAGAATGTTTTTTAAACTCTGCCTGGATCATTTGATTCTGCTGTTTAAGTTATTACAGATTGTATTTTTACCACTGTATATTGTTTACTCTCTGCTCACTCCCTTTTTCTCTACTACAGAGTCTCTGTTGAATATAGCTGTGGAATGGATTTACAGCCAGTAGAAAGGTGATGCGGGTAGAACACCATATTGGAAAGCGACTGTCAACTTTGCCTGTAGGTGTTCAAAGCTAACACCATGCCATAAGGAACTGTGTGCTGCAACAATTTTACTGTGGGCTGGAACTATTATTTTGGGCTGGAAAGAGGACCCTCTCCACTTTCAACATGCTGATAGCTAACAATAGCATTTTCAGCGAGCTCTTCCAATGTCTCTGGCCGATAGCAGGCCTCCTCAATCAGTGGAATAGTCCTTAATTAGGAACAACAAACCCACTACACCTGCATCTGCTCTACATAAACACATATATTGGACACATCAAGCTGCCGTGCAGAAGCTCAAGCCGGCAGCTGGCAGCTGGCACCTCTGCATGTGTGCACCTGTGTCTGTATAGTTAGTGTGTATGTTTCCAAGTCTGCATGTGTATGTGAGTGTGCGCCACCTTGGATCCTCCTTGGAGCCGCACACAGCCCGGGCGCCCAGCCTTCGGCCCGGAGATGCTGCAGACCAACAACTACTCCCTGGTGCTGCTGATCCAGTTGAGCCTGTTGACCTTTGACCTGTTCGTCAACTCCTTCAGCGAGCTGCTGAGGGCCGCGCCCGTCGTCCAGCTGGTGCTCTTCATGTAAGACCCGGGGAAGGATGGGAGAGCCAGGGGGTAGACTCTGATGTAAATTAATGATTTAAAGCTTCTTCATTTAAGCGGTAGAAAGAGTGGGAGAAAAAGGGTATTGACACAATGTAAAAAGCAGTGTTTCTCAACTCTGGTCCCTCAGCACAGTGTGCGTGTGTTCATTTGTGTGTCTTCATTCGTTTTAACGTAACTGTAACTAAATGGAAGCTTCTCTCTCTCTCGCTCAGTATCCAGGACATAGCCATCCTGTTTAACCTGATCATCATTCTGCTGATGCTGTTCAACACCTACGTGTTCCAGGTGGGCCTGGTGTCCTTGCTGCTGGAACGCTTCAGGGCCCTGCTGCTGCTCTCTGCCCTCTATCTGACCCTGAGCATCTCCCTACACTCCTGGATCATGGTACGCTGTGTGTGTGTCAATTAAAATCAAAGTTTATTTGTCACGTACACAGTTTACAGCAGGTATGAATTAAGAGTTGAAAACAGCAGGTCTGGGACAGGTAGGGGTTCCATAACCGCAGGCAGAACAGTTGAAACTGGAATAGCAGCAAGGCCAGGCGGACTGGGGACAGCAAGGAGTCACCACGGCCGGTAGTCCCGACGTATGGTCCTAGGGCTCAGGTCTCTCAGTTGGCTTTTCATAGCCGATCATTAAGAGTTGAAAACAGCAGGTCTGGGACAGGTAGGGGTTTCGTAGCCGCAGGCAGAACAGTTGAAACTGGAATAGCAGCAAGGCCAGGCGGACTGGGGACAGCAAGGTGTCATCATGCCCGGTAGTCCTGACGTATGGTCCTAGGGCTCAGGTTCTCAGAGAGAAAGAGAGAACCAGAGAATTAGAGAGAGCATACTTAAATTCACACAGGACACTGGATAAGACAGGAGAAGTACTCCAGGTATAACCAACTAACCCCAGCCCCCCGACACATAAACTACTGCAGCATAAATACTGGAGGCTGAGACAGGAGCGGTAGTCAATATCAACAATAAAAAGAGTCAAGTCAAAAATAACAAGTAAGAGAGGTAGTATGCATAGTAAAAATGGACTGTATTTACACTGCATTTACAAATATAAAGTGGGCAGTGAGTGACTTGGTCTAGCAGTGGAATAAATAGTATTTAATAGAACAACAGCGTTGACTGTGTGTGTAACACTCGCACTTGACTTTTTCCCCCCCTACTAGCACCGACTTTGTGATTAGCTACTTCATTGAGGAAAAATGTACTTACTATGACTGAGATATGTGATTGTCCCACCATATGTGGTTGTCCCACCATCACTAACTGTAAGTCACTCTGGATAAGAGCGTCTGCTAAATGACTAAAATATAAAAATGTCAAGTGTGTGTGGGTGCTTCTGTGTGTGTGTGTGTTTATGGATGTGTAAGTTTTTGTTTAAGGGTTGGATGTGTGGGTAGTCAGTGCAAATAATCTCTAAAGTGCAGATCATCTCTGAGGTTAAAATAGTCTCTAAGGTGCAGGTCTGTGCAGGTAGACATCTAGGGTTAGCTGTTCAGCAGTCTGATGGCCTGGTGGTGCTAGCTGTCTCAGAGCCTCTTGTTCTGAGACCCGATGCTCCGATACCACTTGCCAGGTGGTAACAGAGTGAACAGTCCGTGGCTCAGTTGATGATCTTAACGGCCTTCCTTTGTGTGTGTGTGTGTTGTGAGAGAGAGAGAGAGAATATAGCTTACACTTTCTGACACATGCACGTCCATGTATATACTGCATGTGCGCATATATGTGTGAAGCCTGCGTGTGTGAGTGTGTGTATTTTCTTGGGGATAGTTCTGATTTCTAGTTATTATAGAAATATGCACGTGTGTGAAGGTATAGGATCTGTTCATAGCCTGGCGATCAACATTCAGTGAATTTGAGGTTTGAGAGAAGTACTGTAGAGGAACTGATCTTTCTTACAGGCAATGGGGGATTTAGCCTGAGCTGTGATGTTCAGGAAACTCCCTGACAGCCCACTATGACTGAGCTTTTGTCATAGGTGGATTCACTCCTAGCCACAAATGAGATGAGAGTGTACTTTATTAATCCCAAGGGGGAAATTACATTTGGCACTAACCTGATATGTGTAAAAGATATCTTATTTTGTGGATATGGAATTTCAAGTTTTCTGTAGGCCTCAGAATTGTTTATTACATGTGTATTATCATTTACTATCAATTTATGGTTTATTATATGTTTTAGTGAAATAATGCTATCCCTCAAACTGTAATATGCATTGGGTTGTGTCTATCTCTGCAGAATCTACGCTGGCTAAAATCGAACCGCTATGTGTGGACTGATGGTCTCCAAGTGATTTTTGTCTTCCAAAGAATAGGTGAGGCTGTCTTTGGTCACACTCTTACTGAAACACAGTTTAGGAAACCTTTTTAGGCCTGAAACGCAATCCATCTTGGGTGCCTTCATTGACTCAAAAAAGGTGGAGATCAATGCTACATGGTAAATACTTATTGAAGGTGTGTAGTACTACATCAGTCACACACACATGCACGAACACACACACACACACACACACACACACACAGCTCTCACACTTTATTTGTATAGCGTAGTAGGTAGATACCAAGTTGACCCTTGTGGGCCATATGGGTCTGATTTTAATTCCCTTTATCTCCTAATTGGTTAAGAGGATTTATAGTTTGTTGTTTGTTTGTTGTTGTCTTTTCTGTTTCAAAACCAAATGACTTCAGTATTTCATTGGCGTGTGATGTGTGTTTGTGTGCAGCGTCCGTGTTGTACTACTACTTCTACAAGCGCACCACAGAGTACCTGGGTGACCCTCGGCTCTATGAAGACTCGCCTTGGCTCAGAGATGCCTTTGCCAATGCCAGGGCCCGCCAGTGAGCAAAGAGCAGTGTGTGGAGATGAAACTGGTATGGACAGATCCAAAATAGACCCCTCCCCGTCCCCCGGACACAGAGAGACACTGCTACGTGCAGAGCTGAAATAGACGCTACAGTGCACAGTCCTGAGCTTATATGGAGGGAAGAACCAGAGGGAAGACCTCTGTGCTCTATCAGACATGGGTAAACTTTAACAAGGAGGGTGAAAAATGAGATTCTGCTTGGATACAGCAAGCCACTTGTACTGTAAGAGGCAAACTGGTTTAGGGCCTTGATTAATGGACAGAATGTTATACCAAGATGACTGTGATGCTAAAATGTGGGAACTCATAGTTTGATGTGACATTGACACAACAAGTAGTATTTTTTTTCCACACTTTGAAACCTTGTGACTGGGTTTGTCTGTGTTATTTAGCTATCAATGCAATTATTGTCTTTGTTGTTTTTTATGTGGGATGATTTGTGAGTTTGTGTGCCAGATTTTCTTGTGAAGATGACTGGAAAGAAAAACAATGTTTTATGTGTTTAAAATGCTTACTTTTGTCCTGCTTTTTGTACAAATGAATTAAACAAAACCCAGACGATGCACACACTGATACACCCTGTCTGTGCTCAGTATTCCTTTCAGTAAATACTTCCAATGTTAATCCTATATCACACACGTGCACTCAGCATAAGCACACATTTATGTGACACATCACTTTATGTCACAAGCTCTCAGCATTGTGAATGAGCTTACCTTTTTCTTATGCCCCTATGCAGTCATTGCATTGACCTAAACCCACTAAAACCCGCTGGATTTATTCATGGAAAAAGACAAACAGTCACATGCAAAATCTCCAAAAACAATTTGGGTGTACAGAATGTATGCTATGCTGTGCAGTTACAGTATGTCTCAGAATAGGGGACTAAAGACCTAGGTAAGAGTATATATATTACTGCACGTAAAACTGGATGTGTCAGTCAATTTATCACCACGTCTCTCCTAACCCACCCCATAAATAGTGCTCTACAGTAAATATACACATCAATACACCATATGCATGCTTGCTTTCAAGGAGCCACAGACAGGGCTCTATTCTTATACCTGGGATTAATCAGGGATTGAGTCTTTAGCCTACAGCCCACAGGCCAGTGTTTTTCACAGCAGTGATGTCACCGCAGGCCCTGTGTTTATGAAGGTGTCAGCAAGGATGGTGGATAAACAAAGATATCTTACTCAGGCAGTTTACCATTGGAAAAAATGGTCAAGGTTCCTGTCTGTGTAAGTGGGCGTTCCCTCTCGCGTGAGCATGCTTTCCCGCGTGAGACCAGTGGCTCTGGTCTACTTACTGTCCCCTCCCCGCTCTCCCCATACGCCCTGACTAGAAAACATTAGCCAGTGAGATGTCTCGCTTTCTGGTGCACCCCATCCGCGGGGCGGGGGCAATAAGTAGACCAGAGTGGCCCCGTCCCGAAAAAATTAACGAGGGAGGTGTCTCACTTTCTCTAACCGTGTCTGGTGTCAGTCCTATGTTAACCTAACGCATGCATGTGCACACACATAGTACTAGAATGCCTGCCACTTTGACCATTATCAATTTGGATTGATACAGTAAATAGATTGTATCTCGTTACAGGGGCATTTTGCTTGATCAACCGTGAGCAACAATGCCATGGCTCTGAAAGATCTCTAGTCATCATCATTCACTTGGCTCTCTGCTGCTGAGGTCGATAATGTAAAACACTGATGAGCAAAGCATTGCAACGCACAGTATTTCATGTGAAAAAACGTCATAGTACAGAGGGGTAAGCAATCTGCAATCTCCTCTTCTGTCCAATGCAGATGGACAATGCACCATATTATAAAAATACAAGCACCAACAACGACAAATCGACTTCCGAGCCACACGGGGCGCTGTGAAAGTAAATATCTATAGAGTTTTTAGCAATGCACTTCCGCTTGTTTTTTAATCGTTTTAATATCCATGGTTTCAACACTTGAGAAGAACTGATACAGATTCGCTGGTGTTCTTATTCTGTCTTTGAACGCCATGTCTTATAATTACGTGGTAACCGCGCAGAAACCGACGGCAGTCAATGCCTGCATCACCGGTAAATGTGTTCTTCTTGTTTCTTGTTAGCTCGCGCACCAAACATGTCGTAGCTACATGCTAAGCTCCCGCGCGAGAAGTCTAGCTACAGGCACTTGCAGGCCCCCTTGATATTGTTTTGCCAGCAAGTCTATCAAGTCCATTGATAAGGGCTTTGTTCAATTTTGAATAACCATGCACAGAATGGGACATGTGGTTTCGCTCAACTGATATCATATAGCTAGTTATCAATTGTCAATCAAGTGAACACAAAATGGCACGAGCCAGTGTGTGCTCCTGCGCAGCCAGGATGTTTTGAAGCTAATGCTAGCTATCTTCAGCTGTCCGTTGATGTCAATTTGTTTGCTAACGTCAGTCAATTGGATTGCTATTACCTTATTGTTTATCAGTTTGCCAAGAATCTCAGTGGGGTTTGGAGCTTCAGTGTTGTTAAATTACACAGGTAGCAGGCAGGCCACTGCAGTGCCAGTCAATATGTCCACCTAAATAATACATTGGCAAATTACAATCACGGACAGTGTGCATAGTTACGAATGTAGGGCACTTTACTTAGCTAACTAGCTAACGTTACCCTTAAACTGCCTGCATTTATTTGATTGCCAATATATTGGTGATAGCTAGCAAACGATTCAATGTATTACTCTTTACATTTTTAGTCATTTAGCAGACGCTCTTATCCAGAGCGACTTACAGTTAGTGAGTGCATACATATTTTTTTTCATACTGGCCCCCCGTGGGAAACGAACCCACAACCCTGGCGTTGCAAGCGCCATGCTCTACCAACTGAGCTACACGGTTAAAATACGTGTGATTAAAAACAAAACTTAATTTAAGGCATTCTGACACTGACTTTATCAAATCCCATATTATTAATAAAAAAAATCAGACTGTCAATGCAGTGTTGTCACCTTAGTGAGTAAAACATATCTGCTTAGTAAGAAAAGTATGCAAGTTGTATTGTTAGTAGATAGAAAAACAAATACTAATACAGGAATGAGATTGGGAAAGACACAAAATCTGCAAGTCATTCAGAAAGCTGAAAAAGTTAGTCCGACTGACTAGGCCACCCTCTCTTCCCCAGGCCACTTCACCTCTGCGGAGGACCTGAATCTTCTCATAGCCAAAAACACACGCCTGGAGATCTATGTGGTCACAGCGGAAGGGCTCCGGCCCGTCAAAGAGGTGGGCATGTACGGCAAGATCGCTGTCATGGAGCTCTTCAGGCCAAAGGTGAGTCTACTACTACCTGTATGTCTGTGTTTGTGTGTGCATGTTAGTCATTTCAAAGCTGGGTCACGTTCAGTAGAGAGAAAACATTTTGAAACAGGGAGGTACTACCTGAACTTGTCCAATAAGAACACAGATTTATGTTTTACGTTGCAAAAGGTTCTACTATTGTGTGCCCTTCTGAACAAGACCCGGGTTTCTTTCTGTAACTGCCATACAAGTTGTAAACTTCTGCCGATGTCTAACTTGAAAGTGGACATATGTTTTCACTGGCTTCAATGGAGAGGAACTTTTTGACTGCAGGGGGAAAGCAAGGATCTGCTGTTCATTCTCACGGCCAAATACAACGCTTGCATCCTGGAGTACAAACAGAACGGGGAGAGCATCGACATCATCACCCGCGCCCACGGCAACGTGCAGGTAGGAGAAAAATAAATATGAGCAAAGCCAGTGTCTTTGAGCTGTTGATGGAGATCAAAGTATATGTTCTGCAAAACTATAACAGGAATACTCTGCAGACTGTTAACTTGACCAACTTATTTATTTTTTGCGTAGGACCGCATCGGGCGTCCCTCGGAGACGGGCATCATCGGTATTGTAGACCCTGAGTGCCGCATGATTGGCCTGCGACTGTACGACGGCCTATTCAAGGTGATCCCGTTGGACCGGGAGAACCGAGAACTCAAGGCCTTCAACATCCGCCTGGAGGAGCTGCAGGTCATCGACGTCCACTTCCTGTACGGCTGTCAGGCGCCCACAGTCTGCTTCATCTATCAGGTAGGGAGGGGAGGATGAAAGGGGTACAATGTTGGAGTGGTTGTGTGTATGCATTTATCTGGGTGTGTGTTGAGGGGGTGGTTGGGTATGAGTTGAAAGAATGCAAGAGTAGGAATTTGATGCTGTTTGAGAGAATATTGGGGGGATGTGTATATGAGACAGTAGTGCATCTCCGGTGAAAGGGGGAATGTGTGCTTTATTTAGCAGACATTTTGTGTGAATATTTGCGAGTGTGTCAGTCTGATTGTATCTGTGTTTGTGTGCTGTAGGACCCTCAGGGACGGCATGTGAAGACCTATGAGGTGTCGCTGAGGGAGAAGGAGTTCAACAAGGGGCCGTGGAAACAGGAGAACGTGGAGGCTGAGGCTTCTATGGTCATCCCAGGTGAGGAGAGCGAATGTCCATGCAGGGTTAGACAAGGATCATCAGGGCCCTGGTCCAATACTCATGAGATTTACTGTATTCTGGATTCTTAGATTAGTGTTTAAAGATCATTTCCACTGGAACTGCAGCGCCCAAGGGTCCTCTTCTTCCTCTTCTAGCGTATTTGAATGTGACTGAATGTGGTTGATTTACTTGGTTGTTTATGTATTTGTCTTATCTATTTTAGTCCCAGAACCATTTGGGGGCGCTATAATCATTGGACAAGAATCCATCACCTATCACAATGGGGATAAATACTTGGCCATCGCTCCTCCCACCATCAAGGTAAGGTCAATCTAAATCAACACAATGCAGAGGCTTTCAACTCTTTTCCAACATCATGCAGTTTGATAGCAATGATTAATTGAATATAGAGTACGGCACTTCTCCAGATGCTCACAGCACTTTACATAGAACAGAGGGATACTCACCTCATCCACCACCTCTGTTCCCTTTCCCTCAACAGCAAAGCACCATCGTATGTCACAACCGTGTGGACCCCAACGGCTCGCGCTACCTGCTGGGGGACATGGAGGGCCGCCTGTTTATGCTGCTGCTGGAGAAGGAGGAGCTGATGGACGGGGCCGTGGTGCTCAAGGACCTCCGTGTTGAGCTGCTCGGAGAGGTACATGTTGTAGGCCTTCTCTCTCCTTCTGTCTCTTTCTCGTGATCTGTCTCCCTCTCTCTCTGTGTTTCTGGTTGTTTTCTCTTTTGTGTGGTCTGTCTAATTTAATCTCAACTTCTATATATTTTTATCTGTCCGTCTCCATAGCAAGCCCTCTCTCTTGCTCTCTCTGATGTCTCTCTTGCTTTTTCGGTCTCCCTATGATCTCTTGTTCTTTTTATCTGGCTCAGTCGTCTCATATCTTGCTTTCAATGATGTCTCCCTTTTCTCTGCTTCTTTCCTATTTGACATTCAACCTCCACATTACACAATTGAGTCTCAATGGCAGAATTATCCTTGAGTGTGTTTTTGTAAAAAAATATGTGATAGTGTACACCAGGAACTTTTTGTAAGTTGATAACATGATATGAGATGGGCTGAAGAGTAATGTCTGTGTGCGTCCCTCCCTTCCTCCC